TCCCCATGGCATATTCGATTTGCCAAAAACAGTAACAACAAGTCTCACAATGGAGACATTACTGGTTCCTACTCTAGCAAATTGATGAGCATTGGGAGAATAGTGTGACAGTGCATATATATAGATATAGATATCAGGTCTGGTTCATTCAACTAATTTGTAAATCCCTCAAAAAATGTGTTCTTTAATTATTTTAGACCATGCAGTTTAATATAGAAGCTTAAAATAATGACAATAACAGAAAATTACTAATGTCTATTCTATGACTTTTTCCCTTGATGCTACTGCACTCCCCTGTCCATCCTTCTTCCCCTTTTCCTCCACAAAAACCCTTGAATGTCAGGAACTTGATAGAATGAGAAAATTATCTGCCCACACAAGAGCAAAATTGTTTCTTAAAACCACAAGAATACTTATTTTGTGTGTGGGGGGGTTTGTTCCTTATAATTTAGTTACTTAATGTAATTGAATTTCCTTTAAAAACTCAGAGAGAGCTCAATGCACTGAGAGTGAGTTTTGCACGCAGGAGGTCTGGGTTTGATTCCTGGTAGACCTAGACCCCTGAACACACTCAGGAGAGTCCTTGCTGAGCACAGAGTTCAGAGGAGACTGAAACACTGTCAAGTGTGTTTAGATGTCAAGCAATAAAAAAAAAAAACCAAAAAGGTCTTTTTTTTTCTCTTGAGTCTTATACAAGATATATAATCCTAATATTGGCAGATAATATTGGTTAACCAACCTGGTCTTGACGTTTAACTCCCTTCTCTTTGTTTACAGCTCCTTCACTGACCATAAATTGTGGTACATTGCATTGCAGCTAGCGTTGGTAGAGGGTCACAGGTACCATCATTAAGACATATATGGAAATCTGTAGTGTTGTCACTCTCTGCTTGTTCCTTTGTCCTATGTGTAACACACCAGAGCTAAATAACTAGACAGCGAATACTAATAATACTAATGTAACTTATACTAACAGTAACTAAATAGCTAGATAACTGTAACAGCTATTTTATGAACAAACTAAGGGAAAAACAAAAAATAAAAACCAACATGATGAAACTGACAGAGCAGACATGTGGAGAGATCCTGGTTCTTGGAAAACATCATTGAGCAGCTTTCCTAGTCCTGGACTGGAACTCAGGGAACTTCTTGTTCTAGGAGGAAGACACCCCCTCTCCATCAGTTGCACTACTGTTTTTGAGGTTTCCTATATGTTTCATCAGGACACTACTCTACTCTGTATGTAATTGATTCATTTGTTGTAAGGGCAGATGAGATCATGTAAGTCCCTTAAACTTTCCCATAGTATTCCCTCCACAGATGGCTGCTATTCTTCTTCTTATTATTATTAATTATTAAAAATATACCTCTGTTACCACCTCCTTTCTCCCTAGCCTCTACCTGCACAATATGAGTCTCATAAGGAAGGCACAGAGGTGCTAATAACCTTTTTATTTTTATTTTTCATTAATCTTTGAATTCCCATCTGTCTCTTCAGGCAGTTATAACTAAGCACTACAGGCTGGGTTGCTTATAAACTGATTTCAGAGCTCTGGAATCAGTACTCAGCATGGTGTCTGAAGCTCTCTCTGAGTTGGAGACACCAATCTGTTGTTTTCTTACATGCTGGGGAAAAAATTCTGATTTTCCTTTATAAGACATGAACCTTGTTTAGGAGGACTCCATCCTTGTCATCTATTCCCCTCTTATACGTCCCAACTTCTAAAACCATCACCTTGACGGTAATGATTTATCATGTGCATTGAGGGGCATGGCACAAAATTCAGGTCACGTACCATGTTTCAAAGATGACATCAGCAGCGGCATCTTGTTAGAAAGTAAGAGAACTAGAACATTGAGTCAGGACATCAGCCCCAACTGTCTGTTTCAGGACTGTGAGAAAGCTCATGCCCAGCAGAAAGAATCCCTTCTCAGTTCCTTCCTTTACTCCTGCATTGATAGCCTTTCATCCCAGACCACACCTGCATGTCCTTGCCCAGCCCTTCAGAAGCTGGTTCTCTCTCAGCCTTCAAGCCTCAGCCTGACTGGACCCTTCTTGGAGACAGTTGCCCTGGCGACCTTTTCTAACGCTGCTTCCCCACTTACTCTCCATCTCGCCATCTGCCTTGCTGCTGTAATATCAGGTTATCATTTCTCTTCCCTATGAGGGTGAGCACTTAATTAGAATGGCACCTTGTTTGTCTTGTTCACCACAGTGCCCTTGTTTACCACATGCCTGGCTCTAACTAGGTGCTTATTATGGACCATATGGAGAGGACACAGCAGGAAGGTGGCTGCATGAAACCAAAATGAAGACTCCCATAACTCAACTGCAATGCCCTCTGATCTTAGTTCTGGTCCCCAAAAGTGTGAGAAGGAAATTTTTGCTGTTGAAGTGATCTGGTCTGTGATACTCTCTAATAGTATCCGTAACTAAGGTCAGGTTCAATAAATACTTGTTAGTTCAATATACAAACTTCTAAGGGCTCAACATAGTTTAAGTTTTTGTTAAAATTCTGGAGAGATGGCACAGGGGTTAAGGCACTTGCCTTGCATGTGGTCAATATAGTTTAATCCCTGGCACTACATAGTGTCCCATGAGTACTGCCAGAAGGGACCCTGAGCCAGGAGTAAATCCTGAGCACTGTCAGGTGTAGCCCCCAAAATTAAAAACACAAAAGTAAATAAATAAAACAAAACATGTGCTGAAGAAAGGGTTAAAACATTGACTTATTTTCCACATGTGAGAATAATTATATTTTTGTTTTGGGGTTATACCTGGAGTGCTTGAAAGCTACTCCTGACTTTCTGCTCTGGGTACTGGGGATCAGCTTCCTCATGCCAAGCATACTCTCAGTCTGTTGAGCTCTCTCTCTGGCTCCAGAAAAATTATTTATTTTATAAAAAGAGTATAGAGAGACTTTAAAAAGAATTAGACTGCTTTTAAAAATGCCCTTTATGTTCATAATTTCAGGAATATGGCAACAATATTACATGAAGCAGAGTACATCTGTATCTCTCCCACACATGCAATATTTAATTTGCAAAGATTAGCCAAGACTCTTAGGACTTCAAAATTTAGCATCTTTCTGGGACTGGACAGATGGCTCAAAAGGGGAGAGCATGCATGTGCGCAGGAGGCCTAGGTTTGGTCCCATGAGCACCAAGATTCCTCCATTTTTTTCTGAGCACTGCCAGGGGTGACCTTTGACCCCTGAGCACTGAGGAGGGAGTGACCCCCAAACCAAAACAAATAAGCAAAATCCTCGCAAGTGTAGGAGACTCACCCAACTCCACTCATTGTATTGGAACACCGATAGATAGCAGGTTTACTGGAATCACATCACCACGACTTTAGAGATAAACACATGTATGGGGAACAGGTCTGCTGCATTTCATGATTATTTTATGACAGCAATCTCAGAGATGGATGAATGTACAAATGAAAGCATAAGTTGAGAGTTGTCTCTGTATGTGTGTCTTCTGAATGTGGTATATATGTGCAAGCATGTTAAAGGAGAAACTTGGTTTATTCAACCTTGGGTCACAAATTTTAAAAGACCTGGGTTCTGAAATAGAATTACAGGCATCTTGGGAAATATTAAATCCACATTTTTTTTCAAGAAGGGCTGCTTACCCTCTGGCAGTACCTCTAGGAAAAGCAATGGGGCTGGGCTGGGGGTATGGCCCAGTGGGAGAGGGCATTTTGTGAGATCCTGGACCCAATCCCTAGCTCAAAGAAGCAAAAAATGAAAACAAGCATGGAAGCTGAATATGGAAGAAAAGAGTAAGAAATATACCAGTTACTAACTTTTAAAAGGAGGTAACTGTTAAATATTTTTTTAGCTAAATTAAAAGGAAAATTGATGAGGATGGATATTTCCTAAATGTCCAAAAACTGTAGTTATGGAATTTGAACACATGGGAGTGATTTGTCTTTCAAAATATGCGAAGGATAATATTAATTGTTTGTAGCAAGATATCATTTAGACATCTATCTATCTGTAGGAGCTTAATTACACCAATCTAAAAACAGTTATAATAGGACTACCATTTTTGAGTTAAACTCATTTTTTATCTTTCTATCACTTATAGAAAAAAAATTTTACATGGGTATCCCTGGCAAATTTCCAGTCACTGGTTAATTAATGCTTCCAGTGTTTCAGTTAAGTTTATTTACATTTTCAATACACGGATGTAGGAAACAGTAACTGACTCAGCAAGTTGTGTGACTCTCAAAAAGATGGTCATTTAGTCATGGTGAAGCCCCTGGGGAATATGAAACCCTGACTCACAGTATAAACTTTCCTTGTTGTGAAACGGTTCTTCTTCCTGTTTGTGTTTTTGCTGAAGCGCATACATTGTCCACCTGGGAGTTTCTTAACATGGCTCAAGGCTGAGAGAAATAAATAATTGTTCTCTTTCTGACTCCTAAAAAGACTCACGGAGTGGGGTCGTTCCTGAACATAAAATTTGGAGCCTGGGGCCAGAGAGATGTACACTGAGGTCCTTCCCTTGGATATGCCCAGTCTGGGTTCAGTCCCAGGCACTACCTATGGTACCCTGAGCACAGTCAGGAGTAATCCCTGAGCACAGAACCAGGAGTAAGCCCTCAGCACTGCAAGAGGTGGCTCCAAAAGCAAAACTAAATAGAGGTTTGAACGTTGGACCGAGAACAGATGAAAAATGTTTGTCTCAGGGCTGAAACTCTTAGCAAATTTGAAAGTAAAGGCGAATCTTTTGCTCCTTGAAAGCTTTTTTTCATTGGCAGTTGATGCCAAATACATGTTACTTCTAGCTACTGTGTAAGCTGAGTAGGTTTCCCATCAATCACATTGCTTGGTATTTTTATATTTGGACTCTGGGGCAAGTTTCTTGCAAAAGAAATGAATAGTTTTACATAATGTTATTTATCCCAGTAACATTAATGTATATTAAATCATATGTTTACCTAAACTTTGTCTTCTAAATATTAAATTGGTGTATGGGTCCAGCTTCCAGTGCTTGCTTCGGCAGCACATATACTAAAATCGGAGTGATACAGAGAAGATTAGCATGGCCCCTGCACAAGGATGACATGCACATTCGTGAAATGTTACATATTTTTAAAAGATTACGTAGATGAAATAAAAAAACACAGTGGGTCCAGCTTCCAGATCCATGGCAGGGTGGGGAGGAGCTTAGTGGTGGGGGCTGAGTGGTGCGTTTGTGGGCTCTGCCCTCCCTTTCCCATCTGGGAAGTGGAGATCGTTCCTGGGGAGTCTCTGGGTGTGGAAGATGAAGCAGTCAAAGGAGCAGATCAGCCGACAGGGAGGAATGCTGCACCCTTTATTGGTGTCACGCACCTTCCAGCTGTCTTACACCGTTGTCTCTGCTCTGAATAAATAGTCTCTGTCCACTTTTTCCAGGGTCAGAGTGGCCTACGGCTCTTAGGACTCTCCCAAGATCTTCCGGAGCCCAGATAAGCAGTGATCTTAATTGACAGTAATGGTGGTGATGGGTGTCCCCTCTCCCTGTTCTCTCTGAATCTGTCTCAGAGGCGCCCACTCCTAGCTGCCTCGCTGCTCTATCTTTTTGCACTTTGTCCTGGCTTCTATGACCCTGCATTAGACTTGCTTAAATCTCTCCTAGTTTCTCATCTTTGAGGCTTTCCTGCTTTGCTGCCTCTGCTTTCTCTTTCTCTGTCTCTCTCTATCTCTCTCTCAACAAGGCAGTTTCCCCTCCTTCCCCTGGCTCTCCAGGCTCATCTAGATGGCCAGGGGCTGCGTGCCAGCACCCTTTAGCTGCCTGTGATTTGCTATCTTGTTCACTCAGGAGTTCTTTCTCCCTCTGCCTTGAACATTCTCTGCCTGTCTCCCCCTCCAGTCTTGGAGACTCTTTTTTTTATAGGGAAATAGGACAAAGGCATCCCTATGCTCAAATCTCTTTCCCTACCAATGCTCTGACAGTCACGTACCCAAGTGCTCAAGGCTCTACTGTTTCGTGCCCCTGCTAGCTCTCTGGCCCCAACATACTATAGTTAAAGTGGTAAAAATAAACATAAGGAGAAACTACCAAAAGGATATAGAGGGAAAAATATGCAAAAGAACTTATATATGATTATCAATGGATTTCAAAAGAACTCATATATGATTATCAAGAGGAATTGAAAGAGCTATGCTTGGAGTATCACATTTCACTCAAATGAGAGAAAGAATCCGGAGTTCCTACCTCCATTGATGATCAAGAATCAGGGATGCTGTCTTGTTTGCCAAGACATTTTTGTCAAAAATCAGATGGGCTGGACATGTAATGAGATTTAGAGATGACCACTGGACTAGAGCCGTTACTGACTGGATTCCACAGGACTTTAAAAGACTACGTGGCTTCCCACCTACCAGATGGTCAGACTTCTTCATCAAGATCATGAACGATCAGTTTGAGGCTCTTCATATTCCTAGAATGAACAGACGCCGTTGGGCTATACTAGCACACGACAGGGATGGATGGAGACGTTACTGGTGCCCGCTCAACCAAATCAACGATTAACGGGAAGTCAAGTGATCACTGTTCTGTCCTGTCCTCCCGTTGTTCATCTATTTGCTCGAGCGGGCCCAGTAATGTCTGCATCATGAGACTTGTTGTTACTGTGTTTGGCATATTGAATACGTCACGGGTAGCTTGCCAGGCGAGATACTCTCGGTAGCTTGCTGGGCTCTCCGAGAGGGACAGAGGAATCGAACCCAGCTTGGCCGGACTGGCTGCAAGCAAGGCAAATGCCTTACCACTGTGCTATCGCTCCGAATGGATTTCTTGGGAAAATCTTGCAGATCAGAGGGGAATGGTGCAATATATCCAGAGTGTGTGTATGAATATATATATATATATCTGATTATCATTCATAACTGAAAGAAGGGAAAAGAACTTTACAAACAAATTAATAGTGTGTCACCCTAAAATTGGCTTCATAAGAGCTCGTAAGGAGTGTGACAAAACATTGGATGATTTCAATCATGAATACAATATAAAGAAATAACACAGAGAAATGGACAAAATTAAGAACCATCCACGGGATACTGACAAAAACCTGAAGTTACCAGAAGAAATAGGGCTGTAGTAAGGACAAAGAGGAGGAGTTCTAATAGGCTGCAGTGGGGTTTTGTTTGCTTGTTCATAATAAAAAATGTGCACAGCTTTTCAACACTAAGTAGAGCACACCTGGTCATCTCTCTCTGCATTTTGCAGTCAGGGACTCACCCTGAAGGTCTATCTAAGAAAAGTCTGCTCAACCCACCACAGGGTATGTTCAGAAACTTCCCATGGTTTCCCCATCTTGCTTCTAATTCCACTTCCTTTGTCTGAAGTTGCCCCCGCCCCGGAATGCTGGGCGGCCATCTTCCCATAGTTTCTTTTTGCTATTTGTGCTTATCGATCTTTTTTTACTCATTTTGGTGGGTGGGAAGCCAGGGAAGGAACCCACAGTCTTGCACACTGGAAGCAAGTGTTGCATCACTGAGCCATATCCCTTTCTTAATCTTGTCCTTAGTTTGCCTCTGGGTCTTTGTGACCCAGCTCTTGTCTCATTATGTTTCAGTCATTTGTGTTGGGCAGTGCTTTGTTAGGTGACACATCCAGTGTGAGTCGGATGAAGAGACACTCTTGGCTTAAGCTGTGTTGCCAGCAGGTGGATTAAATGTCACTGTCTTCCAACTGCCTGGGAGCTCCTCCGCCACAGACCAGATCAGATATAACAGGATAAACCATACAAGAGAGCCCGCATGGGCATGGCCCTGAAGGCCAAGGCTTTTGGAGATGGTGTCCATGCAGAGAGAACTGTGCTGGGAAAAGTGGAAGCCAAATGACCAAGTGCTACAAGGAAGTGTGTCAGAGTTCAGCTCATCAAGAATGACAAAAACAAACAAAAAATAACACCACAATCAGGAAGGCAATAAAGTTATTGTGACTGAATTATATATACTAAGGCAAGAAGAAAAGGCCAACACACTAAATTTTGACAGTGAAATTCAGTAGTGGTGAGTTTCCATGTGGAAGGAGAAGAAGAGAAAGAGCAGAGGGGAGAGGAGTGGAGGGGAGGGAAGGGAGAGAGGAGAGAAGCGGAAAGGTAAGAGGAGGGAAGGCAAGGGGATCGATCAGAGAGAAGAGGAAGAGTGGAGGGATAGGGAGGAAAATCTCTTGACAACTGTCAGTCAGAGTGAGGTGGTCTCTAGATTAGGAGGTGGTTTGTGGGGTGTGGGGAGGGAGGTTCTCACCATTTGTTCTCCAGCAGTCAATCCCACAGAGCAGTGTGACTAGAATCAAATCATCTGTCTTCCCATAAAGCATGTTTCCTACTGTGGCCCCAGATTTTAATAGGAGCCATTGTCAAAATAAAACTTTTTTCCACGAGGTTTATCTATTCCTCTGAGAGCCTCATGACTGAACTGGGGGACAAAGAGGGGATGGCGAATGGAGCTTGGGCTGGTTTTGGGGACAAGTGGGCTGGGAAGAAGACACATTGCCGTGTCTCAAAGCCAGAGGGGCTGTCCCTGCTTCTGTCTATGCATGGTCTCTTGGTAGGATGCACAAAATGAAGATGTGGAGTTCAAGAATGGAAGAAACATAAAGAAAATTCCCTTACTTGATAAACTACTGGGGGCTAACTCTGATTAATTCTATTATACTGGGAACAGTTACTCTTGAAGAAACATATCATGACCTTTTCTCTCTGCCTCCCCAGCAAATCTCAGAAAAAAAATCAGAGTCAATCTTGCTTTGCTGAAAGAATTTTATTATTTTATGTAAAGCTAATGGAGAGATTTATGAGGGAGCTTATTGCTATGTCTAGTCCAATAGGCAGAGAGAAAATATAATCAAATCTATGTATATATTTGCCTAAACCTTTGTTTGGTTTTCACAGTAAACCAAAATGAAGAGGAAAGGAGGATTTGCAAGCATATTTTATAGACAGCCACCATCTGTTTTCAGGAAACTATTAAAGCCTCCTCAAGAATAAGACTCTTGCCCTGATTCTTATCTCCTACTTATCCCCTCCCACATTTCCTCTGTCCCTTTGGAAAGAAAGATTTCACTCACTTCAAATAAGAGAGATTACGCAAACAGTGCTAGACACATGGGAAGTTGGATTTTTTCAGGGGAGCTTAAAGAGGAAATCTTTGGGAGTTCAAGGCAGTTGACATTCACGACTGCCATTTCTGTTCCAAATGTTCTCTTTATGATCTACTAGTAAGTCATGACTTCATCTGTCTGAGCTCAGTCACCCTTTTGAGTTTCTGGGCTTTCAAACACCAAGTACCTCAGGAGGGAAATATCCAGGAATGAGGGGCTGAGAAATGAGGTTCATCCTTCCTGCTCTAACTTGATCTGACCTTGAGTAAAGTACTTTACCTCCCTGGATATTAGCTTGCACATTTATAAAAATGGGCACAATAACTTGAACCTGAACAGTCTCCCAGGCTACATATACAGATTAACATATGGGAATCAAAGTGCCGTCCTGATGAGGAGTCTCTTAGCACATATTTCATACAAAAATAAGAGTTCCAGTAAAGTTTTTAACTAAGCTAAATAAAAAGTTTTATAAAAAAGGAAATATAGATTTCATCCCTTAAATAATTTTGATTTTTTGTTGTACAAAAAAAAGTGGTGGTAACAGAGTAAATGGAAAGCAAAATTTATAACACAAAGTACTTACTTTTTGGATTTCATGGTCTTTAACTAGTCAAACTTCTAGGAAAAGACAAAGAACTTTTGATTTTGTGTGGCAACAGTCATTTGACAGATTCAGTTTAATGAAATGGATACTCCAGCTATATTGCAATATTTAACAGAGCAGGATGTGATGTAAGAAATCTCATAAACCACCTCTGCCCCAAGTCCAGATTTTTAGTCCAGCCTGGTAATAGACTGTATAAAGTATCTTTTTCTGTGCTACCTTTCAATAATCATAATAGCAGGATTCCTACTCAAAAAACCTAGGATGTTCTTTCTAACACTGTTCAGCCTCCAGAGATAAAGGTATACTAAAAGACTTCACAAATGACCTCTGCTAAAGCAGCCAGCTCGTCTGTTGTGCTTTCCTTACATGCATATTATAAATCCTAAAAGCTT